ATAAATATTTCAAGATGCCAACGAACACAAATACTCTTTGCTGCTTATGCCGGCATATATAGTACAAGCTTGTATTTTATTCTATTTAAAAAATTGTTTTATATGTTTATGAAGAAGTACCAGTCCCAGTACATGTGAGTATCATCCGCTTTCAAATGCAACGCATCACATATCATATTTCTATCTTCATAATGTTAAGTGCATGCGATTTTTTTCTAAATTTGTTGTTGTTGTTGTTATGGTGGTTCTTGCATTCCATGTATCTGAACAATTGCAACTGTTTTTGCTCTGTGTGAGTGCTTCATGCCTTCGTAAGCTTTGCATTCAAGTGCAACTGTAATAATTTTTAATTACCACTTGAGCTCCTACCGCTGAGTGGAAGCTTAAACTGCATTGACACATCCTGTAAACAATAGCAATTTTTTTTTTGGTTATTTTTTATTTCATTTATATTATATTATTTTATTATTTAATATTTTTTAAATATTATTTAATAAACAAAAAAGTCAAGTATTCACATGCGCATTTAATAATATGAGTGCACTATATCATATGTGCTTATAAATGTATAAATGGAGATATACTGTATGTGTATAAATAACAATTTAAATAACTGAATGTACATTTAATTTTAAAATAATTATATTGAACTGAAATTGAAATAAGTCCACTTCTAACCATATATTGGTTAATGATAATTTACATAAAACAAATATATTTTATTTTTAAAAATACATTCAATTCTTTATTTTATTCAATATTCAATTTCAATTGAATTAAAACTGAAATAAATAATTATATACCTAAGAACCTTATATTATTCAAAGCATTTTATTGTTTATTTTATTATTACACAATATAATATTAAAACTGCTAACAAAAATAAATAAAAAAATTTATTACTATTAATGCTAAGAACAAACATTATACATTGTAATCAGTATACTATAAAAAACATCTTCCTACATATATTCCTCTCGCTACATTCAGTAAAGTTCCTCAACTCATTTTGACATTAAAACTGTAGAAACTTACGGCCTTATGCCCAAAGCTTACTTGAGCTCAAATATTGACCCCCAAACGACTGCAGTAGTTAGCGTAAGAACAACACTGAAAGATACGACTTTTCCATTCGAGTAAAAATAAACTAACATAACTCTTCTGTAAAAATGGCTAAGTCCCAAATTTTATAGGATTACAGCTCTGTCAGGTCAATAAGAAAAGGAACCCCAAACATTTTGAATCTCCACATAGCCAATGACAAACACTAACACATAAGGAGAAGTACACTTCCCACCGCATCAGCAGAGGTACAACACAGAAAAAGTAATTATAAAGTAGACGCAGCTCCATAGAATGTCTTACTAGTACGCAGTGACTGATCAGCACTGATACCATAGTGCTGAGCAGGTTACGTCTTAGTTGCCGTAGCTGACTAGTATGTTTTTTGTCCAGTTGGAACCAGGTCGATGTTGACATCTGAAGAATCCTGGAAAGAATATCAGGAAGATTTCATCTGCCCAAGGTTAATTAGCTACCTTCTTGCACAAAAAATAGCAATAGATAGCTTGTTATAAAGTTCGTTTACGTAAAAATGGCAGTGAAAAAAAAAATTTTTTTTGTATATTTTTTTAAGTAAAAGAATACAGATATCCACAAAATTTCAGTAAATAATTCCGCAAAATTTTAGTAAAGTTTGCTCTTAGTCAACTTAATATTTTGTACATATTTTTTTTGTTTATTTAAGGTTAATATTTCAACATGACAGTACGTACATGTAAATTATTTGCATATAAATTTATATATATTTGCATATAAATTTGCATATAATTTACACTTTTCATCTAATACCTTGTCTACTCTAATATAGTATTTTCTTTATAATAATACCATACCTTTTTAATTAAATTTCCGGTAACCTATTCAAGACATTTTAGTTTGCAGTTTAATATTTCATTGAAAATATCTAAATATCTTTTATCAGACTTGCTATCATGATTTAATTAAGTGTGTTTCACTGAGCTCAAAGGTATAACAAAATATTGTAAATTGAAATAATGGCAAAAATGTATATAAAATTCAACTGACACAGTAAATACCAACAATGCGAACAATGCTAAAAATATGCAAAACGCACTTTAGCACAATCAAAAATCAACAATCAACACACACACACACACAATTACATACTAACATTAATGCAAATATAAACTAAACAATTGAAATGAATGAACTAACAATAAAATATGCATGCACACATACATACAATTTGAAGGATGTTGTATTTTACATATGTATATAATATATGTGATTACATTTTCAATGTATATTCTTCACTATACACACATATAAAAATTAATGTCCGTGCTGCTCTTTGGCAATCATCATTATTCTACATACGCCATTTTGTTTGCATGATTTCGTAAAGGCAATGGCCGACGGTCATGTTCGGTTGTTGAGATAAGAACTCAGTAAAAATAACAAAAGATTTAATATCCAAACGAAAATCTATAAAATTGTTGCTGTTGCATCGACAAATAAAAAATGCGTGTTAAATACATTATAAAATTAAATAAAAATAAAAAAATTACAAAATACAAAAACAAAACCGTAAATTATTGGCAATTCGCACATGAGTAAACAGTAAATTCACTCTATTTTAACCTAAAACACAGCACATTATTTACATTTTTTGTTGTGCGAACGTGTCGGTCAAAGATTTATTTTAGAGAAAAGTATAAATTTAATTAAGTGTGTGTATTCATTTAGAAAAATTACTTTATTTTATCTCAAATTAAAAAAAATTATTTTAGTTAAGTTTATGGGAACGTTAGTTTATAAACTGTACCATTCGATGGAACGATAAATGATGGAACGATAATGCTTAACAACACCGGTAAAAGTAATTATCAATCGGTTATAGTTCATATAGTTCAATTAGCAATAAATAAAGTAGTCAAAAAATAAAACTTAAAATTCATTAAAAGAGTATTAAAAAGGACATTTTAAGAAGTTTTTAAGGTTTTTAATGATACAATTCAATCAAACTCTCTTTAAATTCCCTTACGAACAATAACAAAGATTGTGATATTTTTAAATTACTTTTCGTTATTACCTTTAATTTGTTTAAAGTGACTTGATAAATTGTAACTTGAAATGTATGTACGTGTGCATTTACATGATTGGGACTCTGTTATCAGTTTTACTTTATCGAACTTTATTATAAAAAAGGGTGAGTTGTGTTGCATGAATAACTTACTGCGTTCAATTCGTATTCTACTGTTCTCCGGTCAGATCATGGCCGCACACTGATCTCTAGAAGCTTGCGGATGCCACTACACTATCTATTTAGCAACATTGCTATTTAGTCCTGTGAGAGTGTGTCCTATTTAGCCCCATTAACACTTCTGAATTTCTCCTATTGCTCTAGTTTGACATTTATGAACCCACTGAACAATGAGGGTTATTCTCTTGGGTCACCAGAGATACTTTTAGCATTCAGCGTAAGATTCTTTGCTAGACATTAGTAAATAATTTTGTTTATATATTATCAATTTTGGTAGAACAAGAAATTACCGCCTCTAAATTCGAAGCGGTGGCTGCCGTAGCAAAGGGATTAGTCAAAAATTGTATTGTACCACTTAGAGAGTTAGTTCCGTATCAGTTTAATTTAAATGTTATACATGCCAACGGATTAAATAGTTCGATGCTTACCGCAAATAATTTGAAATACTGAGTTATAATTATTATATCAATACAACTTTATATATATACATAATATTTTTTATATAAATATAGAATAATAAGAATATTATTTTACAATAATGATATGCACATTGGCACTTATTTTAATTACTTTTTAAAATAAAAATTTATCTACCCAATAACTTTCTCACCTAACTATTTTAATCGTTCCTAAGATATTATCTAAGCAAAATGAAGTTTAATACAATCACATTTTCGCACCTAAAAAGTTTTTTTTCAGTCGGTATTAACTAAAACGAAATTTCACACCAAAAGTACAAAGCGAAATTATTTTACCTTTTTTATGCATTTTGTTGGTAACTCAAATCGTAAATTTAAATTAGGATTATGTGGTAACCATATTTTAAAATAAGAATTTTTTATTTTCTTTTATTCTACGAAGAACTTTAGCTTTAAAAAATAAGCGAAAATTTGAAGAAAAATTTTAAATTTTTAAAATTTGTGTCTGGGTAAAATTAATTTAAAAAATATAGTCTTATAAATACAATAAACATAAGTGTTAAGTTAATCTCGATAGTCTATTGGTTAATAACACTGATCATGGCTACTGTGGTCCGGTTTCGAATCACGGTGAGAGTAATTTATTTTAATGTAAAATTTACGAAGAATATGTTTCCAAATTCACAGAAAGCTCTTATGTTGTTTTAATTGGATATAATATTGGTTGATTTGTGGTATTTTATAAGTATTTATGAATTCTTCAGTCTGAATATTATATTCTTTTGAAGAATATAATATAATATTAATCAGAGTTTTTTTATTACTATAATGCTATAGTATTGTCCTTTCAACAAGGACAATAGATTTGATTTAAAAAAGGAATTTATAGACTATTTAACCAAATTTCTTTTCTTTTAAGGTTATTGACTCTAAAAATATTTCATTTTATCAAATTTTTATAAATTTATAATGTTACTGCAAATCTATTAGCCCCATTTTCATTTTTTATTCCATTAAGAATGAAATATTCCTTTTTTTTTGTAAGAACCAATACAGTCTACTCTATGGCAAAAAAGAAACCAAGAAAACATTTCTGAAATTGAGAGACTGTCAAAAGATATACTTCCTTTTATTTCGGACAAAATTTCAAAGGATGGTACTAAAACCCAAATATTTTCACGGGATACTACACACTCAAACTGTGTTGGTATTTTGGAATATGGAATATAAACCATATTTATCATAGACTACTGTCAAAGACTGCTAAATAACAAAATCAAATACTGAAAAGCTTCTTATATTAAATAGTTTTGATTTGTTGGTGATACTGCATATTCTTGAAATGAGATTAAAAAGATTAATATACAAATTAAAAAATGCAAAATGTCTCTTTTGATTATGTCCTACTAATATAAGGAAATAAGTTCACCATCTTTATTTGCTTTTCCAAATTAACCAAAGAACCAAAGAGTGTTGGTAACAGCAGCCCTAATAAAGTTGGATTAAAAAATTTGTGCTGCAGATAATACAAATAGATTATATCAAGTAGATAATGTTAGGTTATTAGGTCTTATTAGTCTTATTGTTACCGTACAAAATTCAAAAAGTTTAAAATCGTGTCAGCTATGTAAAGTAAATAGTTTATTAAAAATTAAAATACTTTATTTTCGTTTTACT